ACCAGTTAAAGTGGCAAAGCATCATACGACAGCATAAGAATTGACAATCTGTTGTATCATAAGCTTTCGTGGAACAGACTCCATGAAGAAAATGCTTTATAAATGTAATTATTTGATGTAGCCATGAGGGAATCTGCTACCTAAGATTTTATTATACCAGTGCACTTTATTTTTATGGCGAATTGCCTCAAGTTAGGAAATCGCCATAGGAATTAGCTGTTGCCTGCTGAGTTGTATTACTCAGTACCCAATAGATAGTGTCCACAGTAACTTGGGGCAATTGGCAATAGTTACGCTATTAATGTTATGCTGGCATAATTACATAAGAGCGTTTTGACCTGTGTTCCTTATGACTGCAGTGCTTTCCGGTTTCAAGAAACATACGTAAGATTCCTTGGCTGCTGGCTTTACTCATTATTTGCCTGTTTGGCCTTAATTTGTACACATGGCATGCAAAGGATGTTTTTAAAAGCAAAATATAAGTACAGGATACCTTGTGGTCTAGTCTGATATTGTCTTGGAAACTGTTTAGCCCATTCACGGACTGGTTTACCATGCTATCAGAATGTTTGGTTTCTGAAGAATTCCTGAATGTGGCTGGTCACAATTTGCTACTATCAGTCCTTGGTGGTAGGAGCCCAATCCCATATTTTCCATTTAATGATAGTGTGGGCTGGGGAACATTTGCAGATTAGAACTGATTGTTGGGAAATTAACAATTTCTTCCTACTCACCTAATCCGTTTCTCCTTATTAAGTGACTCTTCGCATGCTAGCAAGGTTATGCACAAAATCCTACAAGGAAGGCTTCAGCAGTATGTGGATTGAGAAATCCCAGAAGTACGAGCTGGATTTCGAAGGGACAGGTAAACTAGAGACCAAATTGCTAATATGTGCTGGATCATAGAGAAAGCCAGAGAGTTCCACAAAATACAGCCAAAAAACCACCACATTTACTTCTGCTACATTGACTACGCAAAAGCCTTTGACTGTGTGGACCCACAGCAAACTATGGCAAGTTCTTAAAGAAATGGGAGTGCCTGACCACCTTATCTGTCTCCTGAGAAATCTATATGTGGGACAGGAAGCAATAGTGAGAACTGGATATGGAACAACTGATTGGTTCAAAATTGGGAAAGGAGTACGGCAAGGTCATATATTGTCTCCCTGCTTATTTAACTTATATGCAGAATACATCATGTGAAAGGCGGGACTGGATGAATTCCAACCCAGAATTAAGGTTGCTGGAACAACCTCAGATATGCAGATAATACAACTCTGATAGCAGAAAGTGAGGAGAAACTAAAGAACCTCTTAATGAGGGTGAAAGAGGAGAGCACAAAAATGGTCTGAAGCTCAACATCAAAAAAACTAAGATCATGGCCACTGGGTCCCATCACCTCCTGGCAAACGGAAAGGGAGGATATGGAGGCAGTGACAGATTTTACTTTCTTGGGCTCCATGATCACTGCAGATGGTGACAGCAGCCACGAAATTAAAAGACGCCTGCTTCTTGGGAGGAAAGCGATGACAAACCTAGACAGAATCTTAAAAAGCAGAGACATCACCTTGCCGACAAAGGTCTGTATAGTCAAAGCTATGTTTTTTACAGTAGTGATGTATGGAAGTGAGAGCTGGACCATAAAGAAGGCCGAGAAGAATTGATGCTTTTGAATTGTGGTGCTAGAGGAGGCTCTTGAGAATCCCCTGGACTGCAAAGAGAGCGAACCTATCCATTTTGAAGGAAATCAACCCTGAGTGCTCACTGGAAGGACAGATCCTGAAGCTGAGGCTTCTATACTTTGACCATCTCATGAGAAAACTCCCTGGAAAAGACCTTGATGCTGGAGAAGAGTGAAGGCAAGAGGAGAAGGGGATGGCAGAGGACAAGATGGTTGGACGGTGTCATTGAAGCTACCAACATGAATTTGACCAAACTAAGGGAGGCAGTGGAACACAGGAGGGCCTGGTATGCTCTGGTTCCTGGGGTCACAAGGAATTGGACACAATGACTAAACAAAAAGCATGTTGAAGTGGACAAGGGAGATCCTGCAATTAGACATTGTGGGAAGGAATTAACATGTGAAGGAAGAGTTACAAAATGCGTCCTGGTTTTTTTTCATAATGCTTCGTAGAGTGTGTTTGATTTAAATCAGAATTTAAAATTAAAAAATCAGATTTTTTTTACATTTAAAAAATTTCCAATATTTAAAATAAATTTTGATTTAAATCAAATTGATTCTGTTGATTTTAATCCACCCTGACATGTCTAATCCCTTTCATGCTACCACCAAGAAACACCTTCATATCTATGGTGTGTTTTGGAAAATTTACAATGTAAAACTAGAAAAAATATGGAAGTGATTAATTATTTCTTTAAAATAGTGTGTGTATGTCTTCGTATTTGTCTCTGTACAAGAAATCAAATTAAGTTCTTGTGCAGGAGAGTCCTTTTAAATTGATATCTCGATATCAGATTACCTAAAAATTGTATCCTGATTATTTTTCTTTGGGGTTGCTGTACAAAATGTACTGTAGTTACAATCCTTGCTTGCTACTTTTTTGCAGCTTTGTCCAAAATTATTTGTGGCACCTGAATTGAAATAGCTCCTTTAAAAATAAAATAAAATACAATTTCAGGTGGTCTGTAGTTCAAAGAACTGTTTTTATTTCAGCAATGCTGAATGCATCTTCTCTGTTGTGCATTTTATATGAACTGCCTGAATGTAATATGTCACAAAGTGCACTACTGGTCCCCCATCTCCACCCTCTGTGTGTGTGTGTGTGTGCGTGTGCGTGTGCATATGTACAGAAAAATATACATACTTTTCCATCTCTTTAGCTGTGCACACTGAAATCAAGGGGAGTGGGGCCAGCCTTGTGTGGGATCTTGAGGTCAAGCTGCCTGAGTGATTTCTTTCACCTTTCTTCATTCACCTAATACATATAACAAAACCCAAAATCCATAGCTGGTTGGTACTTTTATTTGGATTAATTCAACATTCATGGAATATGTAAACTTTCAGTTTCTTCATAACTCTTCATCATGCTAGGTGCTGAAATCAGAGTGGGGCTCTTGTGATTACAGTTTTACTTGCATCCCTCCCCCCTGCTACATTCACCATAGAATTTGCACATTAGATGAAATTAAGAGGCCATATAGTATGGCTTCCTCTAGCAAGACAATACTATGGAGTACAGACCTCCCAAAGATTGATGAATGTAAGTGCTCAGAGTTTCTATTCAGTGTGACCAGACATTCCCATATAACACATCAGATGGGAGCCTAGCATATTACAAAAATCTGATCACTGAGCCATGGTCTAAATAGTCAACCTTCAAATAGCTTCTTTGTGAGGCTTAAGTTATAATTAGAGATGGGGGTATTTGTATACAAATAGGAATACCCCCACACAGGTAGTGTTAATGAGGGTTCAGCCCCATGGGGCCAGACAGTCCACTCACCAATCTGCCATGGATGCGGACGACGCGATTCTACCAATGGCTCTGTTGTGCGCAGTCCGCTCGCCACTCTTCGACCTTGTAGTGAGGCTTGTACTGACTTGGCTTTGAAGGTATTCAGAAATGGCCAGGTACTTCTAAAGTGTTATATAAAACTAAGTAAAACTCACCAGAATACTAAGAATAAATTCAGAGCCAGTGAGTTGTAGTTGGTGGAGTGTTGGACTAGGACTCCGGAGACTTGGGTTCAAGTCTTGCCTCCACTATGTGAACTCACTGTGAGGCGTCAATGGTAGGCTACCCCTTGGCTATCTCACATACCTTGAAAATCCTATAAGGGTTACTGTAGGTCAGAAGTGACTCCATGGCACATAACAAGAATAATAATTCACCAATGCAGCTTATATGGAAACGTTCTCTGGAAGACTTTAATCTTGACTCTTTATGAACTACTCAAAGGTTGAAGATCAAAATGGTGGTTGGGCAGCTTACAGAGAGGGAAATTCTGACTGAACATTCAAGGGCTAACCTGACTTAATTCTGTTCTTCCAAAGTGACCCATTTCACATAAAACTAAGTTATAAGGGCAAAGGTAAAAGTTGTACATGGCTGGCAGATGTCCATATCTCTGCTTTTCCATATGTTGTCTCCTTGTCCAGGGACATGTCCTAGGGCTTCTTGCATACAATTTCTCCTTCAATTCTGGTTTTGAGGTGAGAAAAATCATGGAAATGTGAAATGCTTGCTCTCCTATATTGGATTACTTGTGTAGTAGAGAGGAAAGTGACCATTTGGCTAGGCAAAAGCTGACTGAGCCAGGGCTGAGTTTTCTGAGCAACAGAATCCTTTCTTGAGTTTCTCATATTCCTGATGCTGGAAGAAAACTGCAGCCTAAGATAAGGTGAGGATGAAACTTATTTTCAGCATTAGTGGGTCATAACTAAGTAACTTTATGTAAAATATCCTAAGATATTTTTATGTAAAATATCCTAAGCTATCCTGAGCTGTCATGTGTCATATAGGTTCTTTGTTGTCATAATAGTTCGTTGGACTGCACTGCAGTTTACAGTCTGTAGTTAAAATCTTCCAATACCTGCTCTAAAAATGTTAAATATCAGATCAAAGCTGTGTCTAATTGCTGTCTTACAGATTTGTTAAATGTAATCAATAATGTCAAAACAGGTAGTTTGTAAGAAATGTGGCTGTTTGTATACAGCAAAGTACCAAAGGAAAATTACTGTTACTTTATTCATATTATTCTGCAGCATTACATTGTAGTTGTTACCTGTGTTTTTTCGAAGAATTTTTATTGTTTATGGAAATTTAAATTATTTGCAAGTTTTGTTCACAAATTAGCACTAGGATTAAATGTCAAGTATTAAGCATAGGCTATGTTCCGGTAAATTGTATATTATAGTAATAAATCTAAGATAAAATCTTTACTTATTTGTTTTTCTCTCTGTGTTTTGTGTCTGTTTTGTTCCATGTTGAACATGTATCCTTGGTGACATGGGCTTACGATAAATACCCTTAATACAGTTTACACGGTTCCTCTGTGACTCTCCACTTGAGGTATGAAATCATCTCTAAATAAAATCAACTGTAAATATCTGCAATGTTTTGACACAACTTACAGATTGTTTTCTTTACTTAGTGTGCACAGTTATATGTATGTAGAGAATTAAAAATTTACAGATATCATTGATTATAGAAATCTAAGTGTATAGGTGATTTTGGTGCAATTTGCTTTATTTGTGATTCTTAAAAATGCTAGAGGCATTTTACACACTTTCTTAAGAGTACTTGTATGTATTGATAGTGGAACTTCACAGTCCTTACTCGGCTTTGTATTTCTTCCTGCTCTTTAAAGGTGGTTGCCTTTTTGTTGTTAACTCCTTGAGCATTCTTCTTTTGGTACCTGATATATTGACTGGTAGAGGCAGTCTGCTTTTAAAATATTAAGTTTGTGTCTGTGTGCTGCATGATTGCCAATAATATTTAATTATAAGCATGTGATCAATGTCTACTTGTTCTCTTCAGTAAGGTGGAATGAGGTTGGTCCCTCAGGTGGCACATCCTGTGAGATGCAAAGTAGAGAGAGCTGTGTGTGCCACTTGACCTATGGCCCCCACAGCTAGTCTTCTGCTCTTGGGTGCAATAAACCATGCTGTCTGAGCACTTTTTACTCATGGAACTGTGGGGCAGTGCCATCTTTTCCTTAGCTTCAGGCCGTGATTCTCAAATGAAGGGCTGAGATGTCGTTCATATTTAATTAAAACAAAACTAGAACATATATGTGGGTCACCAAACGTTTAAGAGCTGCTATTTTACCATCTTATCCATTGCTTCAGGCAGTGATTCCCAAATTACTGGTTTGGATGTGATTCATTTATTGAAACAAAATTAGAACTTATGTATGGATGACCAAACATTTTGAGCTGGTCCTGCTATTTGCATTTGGTATGCAGTTGTAGTTGTAGATGTCAGACATGGGAAATTATTTTTTTCAAAGGGTGGAGTATTAGTTTTATCATTAGGTAAAAGAAATAAAAGGTAACTATGATGGTGATAAGCAACTTACTAAGTTATTTTTCTGAGTAGCTGCTGAACCTGAGCAATTTCTCAGCATATTCGTTCTGCTCCAATGGGTTTATAGCCTTACTGCATATATGGACAACCCCATTCACTTAATTTGAAGATTTAGTGTGGCAAAATGCTTTTATTTAATATTTTAAATATATTGTTTATTTAATTATTTAAAATATTTTAATAATTGATTGTTTTATCTATCTTTTTTAATGATAAGCCACATTGGTTCCTTTTAAGGAGAAAGGCAGGGTAAAAATATTTCAGGGAAACAAATAATAAATAAAATGCAAGGAGCTGCACATTCAGTAAGCTAAAAAGGACACTGTTGCATACTCAGTAATTTGCCATGTATGTTCATGTATACTTAGTCTTCATTTGATCAGTCTGATATTTTGGCAGTGGGGCAAAATTAGGGAGGTGTTGGTCCGCCTTCAGAGTTAAGCAAAAGGTACTAATTGTACAGTGGTGCCTCGCAAGACAAATGTCTTGCAGGACAAAAAACTCACAAGACAAATGGTTTTGACAATGGGGTTGATGACTCGCAAGACAAATGTTCCTATGACCGTGCTTCGCAAGACGAATGTTTTCCGTTTTTTGTTCCTGCCTCATGTTTGCTGATTTTTAAATGTTTTTCTATGATGTTTAAAAAGTTAAAGTTTTTTGATTGAAATTTTTGAAGTCATCTGCACAATATGTATGGCTTTAAAGAGCCCCTTTGTAAACCAAATTTGACTTTGTTCTGACTTTTTTTGCCCATAGGAACGCATTAATTAGATTTCAATGCATTCCTATGGGAAAACGCGTTTCACAAGACAATTTTTTTTCTGCAAGACAACATTAACCACGGAACGAATTAAATTCGTCTTGCGAGACACCACTGTACTTATGTAGAGAATCAATATAGACTAGGTGATTCTGAGAGAAAGCCAGAAGTTAGATAAATGGAAGTTCAGTAAAGGAATTTATTGCACTTTCCTGACATATGTTACCATTTTAAAATTGTAAACTGGGACATCAAAGGACTTTAAAAATGTAATGGCTTAAAAGGTTGAAGTGCAGCAAAGATAGTTTCCCCTTTGTTTTTAAAGAGAATCCACTTTGAATTGCAAATTGATCTGTTCTAAAACTATCCTTGTACCTTCCCTGCCTATGAGGCTGCTGAAATATAGAATTGCCTTTTAGAAAAACAATGTGTGGCTTTTTTTTAGAATCAAATTTAGTTCATCTGATCTCTTAATTAGCCATAACATGAGTATTTGAAACTCCAAAACTGGATTGATGAGGCAGTTTCTGGCTTTTTTCCCTTCTTTTCCATTTAGCCACAAGCTGCTTAATCCTGATATGCACTGTAGCAGACTGTATGGTACAGACCATTCGTTGTATGTGGCAGTGCATATAATTCATAAGACAGAGCAGTATAAGAACATGTGGGCTCCCAGTGAAGTTGTTTGCATTATATGAGTGAACAATTGTACATTTGGGTGTCTTGTTTTGCCCTTGTCCACTGTTACTTAACTTTAAATCAGTTATTTAAATGCATTCAGATAGCACAGTTTTTGTGTTAGCCTATCATGTCTCTTACCATCACTTAAGTGCTCCTCACGCAGTTTGTTGGGAAGTAACATACTTCATTTAAATTAAAGTGTGTGTGTGTTTTTTGTTTTTTTAAAGAATATCTGGGAAAATTTGGACACTAAGAGTGAACAGATTTGTTTTACTATATCCTGTTTTGCCCAAACTAAACCTGAAATCATCGAGGCAAAACATTTGCTTTACATTGAAAGCAAGAGATTGAAGAGAGATTCTCAGTTTCCATTCTCTCCCACTCCAACTTAAAATAAATAAATAGGAAAGAAGCCAAAGGTTTTTCAGCCTTGTGCTTTGGTGATGAATAATTGCAAGGTTTCAGATTACTTCATATTTAGTGTCTAAGAAGACTTTGTTTGTTATAGGTCTTAAAGAGTTAACTACTGCATGAGTGTAATGAAATTGTCAGGTTATAGTAATTGCAGCAGTAATTTGATATGTTGCCCTATGAATGAATCCATGTGTTGGGAGTTTGTTACTTTTCTGAGCTGAACCAACCCCCACCATTTTTACATTCCTGCAACCTGAAGGCTAATCAGATCGTTAGACTTAATAGGTAAAGAGCTTTTATCACCTCATCAAGTAAGGCAATAGATTTCCATTATTTTCCTTAGTTCGTAGAGCTACATGAATGCTTACCTGCACTTCTCTTTAAGGTTTATATCATCCCGCCTCCCCCACTGCCTTTTATTGACAGTTTGAATTTCGAATTGAATTTTGTGTGGCACCACTTGCATGTGTTTTTGATTAAATGAGGCTAAATAAAAAGGCCTGTATATTCAAAGCCATAAAGATTTTTCAGATTCTCTATCCCAGAACAAACTTCATTTGCTACTTAAAAAGTAGGTAGTGTCTTTACCACTTATCTCCTGAATAATTTTGAAGCAAATGATTAAATCTTTTGTGACTAAGTTCTGTATTTATTTTGAATCCTTAATTATAGAGCAATAGTTGTGATTGTTAAGACTGTTAAATGAATCAATCTCAACATTATGACAAAAAGTGAGGGGAAAATATCTTGTCTTAAAAAACAGTTAAATGGAATAATCTGAAATCTACATAATAGTGTAGATGTATTTAGTTTGAGTATGTTATGAGACAATTAGGAAAGTGGGGAATAGGTAAGAAATTACTTATTTGTAGAAGATCAAAGTTTGACAAATATTCTCCAATAGTTTTATAGGTATTGTCACCCCTCCCATGTCCTCCCCATATTGAAGGGTTACATTTGCCGCCAGGTTGCTCTGAATATTCAGCGTCTTTCAGGAAACATACCTTTGTTTGCATTTGATAGGGATGAAGGCTTTAGTATATGCTGTCCCGGTATATATGCTGTCTAATTTATATTGTTCCCTAGTAGTAGGATGAGATATTACTACTTTTTATTGAAGTGTATACTTCAAGTGTAAATATGGCAGCCAGTACAGATCAAACCAAAGACAGAGTTTTCATACCTTTTCAAACACAATTTCTAAAAATGCTCTTTATATATTCTGGTTTTTTTTTTTAAATCTTCTGTTAATGATTTTGCATCTATGAGCACTTAAGTGGAAATATTCTGTTTTGCATCTTGAGCATTCAATATTTATTTCACTGGGAAATATCACTCCCTTTACTCACTCCTATGTAGAAAAGAAACCAACAATGACTGTACTGTACTTTTGCATAACTTTTTCCACACACAGTTTCTGTATACATCATGTTGAACTCTGCTGATCAGAGAGAGCTACATGCTGAAGTTCAAGATGACAGCCCTTAGTGGTCAAAGCTTTAAAGAAAATAGGAAGGAGCAAACTAAAAGTCGTTCACTCAGAACAATTGCAATGAATGAGAGGCTTGGAGTGGAAGATTAGATTTATGACACTTAGATGTGCATATATGGAAGTGTTTTTCACTGTAGAGGGTAAACTGTCTGGTTGCACATTAGATTTCCATATTTCAGTTTTTACTCCAAATCTTGTGAAAATTATGACTGTTTAGATACTACTGTTTGTCAGAAGTAAGCAGTGGATTCTTCTTCTTATCCATTCTTAAATATTATTTAGCTGATCAAGAACTGAGCAGTTCAAATGAAAGACTTTAGAGATCAGTGACCCTTTGTCCTTTGTTGGAATAATGTGAGACAGTTCTGTTGCCATTCATTTTTCCCAGAAAAGGTATCAAAATATTTGACTAAATCTATTGTCTGTTGTTGTAATGCAAAACGATATAATACTTGATAACATTGTCAGAATTAATGAGTGAGAAGAAATCTCATAAAACCATTTGTACAGTGAAACCTAGACTGCATAAGCTGAGGTAACTGCATTGATGAATTCAGAAATAAAATGAGCAGGATAGTAAAGAAAGTGTTATACCATATGTTGCAGAATACTTAAATGATCTGGAAAAGAATGTTCTTGTGCCTTTTAAATGTTATTTATGGTTATTTCAGTAGAAAATGTTACCTTGTATCTTCCTTAGAGTGAGTTCACATAATATGTTGGCCTTTAAGTTCAAAAGTATATGTGCACTGCTCAGATATGGACCAGCTCTAGAATGTGGGGGTGAAGCAGATTTAAACTTTACTCCCCAACTCTTTTTATCTAAAAATCATCTCTTGGAAAAGGAATCTGCCTCCGTTGCTTATAAGTAGCATAGTGTTGTCTAAATAACAACACAAATTCAGATGTGACTTTGCTGATTTAGCCTTAGAACTTTGGGTAGGATCCTGTGGTATTTCTGCACTCATGGGACAATGGAATCCAGCAGAAGCAGGAGAGGGAGCAATTCTGCTTGAGCCTTTGTGCATGTCTGAAACTAGTCCTAGAGGACTGGAGCCCCCTCTAGAGCAAATTCTCAAGAGGCACTGAGGATTTGGGGGGGGGGGGAGGACAGAGTGGTTTACATAACATAACATCCAGAAATGCAAGATAATACTTCTTGAAGCTTAACACAGTTAAGTTCACAGCAGTTCTCTTGACACAAGAGAAACAAAGGGTAGGAAGAAAAGAGACAATAGACACTATATCTCCCTTTGTGAGCCTGCTGGGCTGTTAAGATAATCACAGGAGGCCTTTCTTCTACTCCTGCCACCTTCACAGGTGTGTTTGGTGGGGACATGGGAGAGGGCTTTCTCTGTTGCTGCTCCCAGACTTTCGAACTTTCTCAGATGGGAAGCTAGACTGGCTCCAGCTTTTTAAGGAGAAAGATAGGGTAAAATATTTCAGGTAAATAATAATAATAATACATTTCCAAAAGAGTAGATCCTACATCAAAAAGGAACCTCCAAATGTGGAAGTGCCAGTGCTTAAGCCTGGGTCCAAGAAATCTGTCTGCAAAGCAGAAGAAGAAAGAGTTTGTTATATTTAATGAATGAATGTTAACAAATCTACTGAATGTACTGCAAAATTTTGCAGACCTAGCTCAATAGGCATCTCTTAAATTCCACATTTCAATATTTCAGGCTTTAGCCTTTCATTTTGCTTATTTTAGGAGATGTTATTTTGTTTTGCTATGGAGATGGAACAGCTAATGTACAGTAGGCATATAAGTGATTAGGCAATCCCCCCCCATAATTTTGCACTGTACAATGTGTTTTTGAATTTGCATTTCTTTGTTTCAATGTTTACTTATTTTGCTTGTTAAAGATATTGAAATGCATCCTGTTTTGTATTCTCCAGGCAGAAAATCCACCTAATGGCCCAGATTGTGGCTATGGTTCTTTCCACCAGCAGTATTGGCTTGATGGAAAGATAATTGCTGTAGGTGTAATCGACATCCTTCCAAAGTGTGTATCTTCTGTGTATCTCTACTATGATCCTGACTGTTCTTCTCTGTCTTTAGGAGTCTACTCTGCACTGAGGTAAGGAGACATTTAAAATATGCAGTGGTCTTTTAAATGTATAATGATATCTAAAATATAAAGTTAAAACAGAGTTAAACTGTGCCACATATATTAAAGGCTTATCAGCTTTACTCTCTCTCTCTTTGAATAAGAAAAATATTTTCTTCACAGGCTGTAACTTTAACATTGAAATTTAGTGCAATGTTCCCTCTAGTACTTTGAGCAGAACATTGCAGCAGGCAGTGTTCTGCCAAGCCCAAACTAGTCTTCTCTGCTCCTTTATTTTTATTTCTATATACTGTATAATAGTGTTTTGCTTTGGCTTTTTAAAGAAAGTTGAAACATGGCAGTATGTTTTTGATCTGACACTTTGATTCCTCCTTGCCTATGAATAAGAATACTTTGTTTCTATCCCGCATGTTGAATGTTGCTATATTTTAAACATCCTAATAGTGGATAAAAAACTGTGTTGAACAATATTTTGCAAGGTAGCATGCCTGTAATTTAAAAAATATATAATGTACTGTGGCAATCTTAAAGTGGTTTAAGGAACCAGGTATTTAAGATGCTAGCTTGTTAAAACATGCTGAAGAAGCAATAAATATACCTCCCTCCAGGAACACAAGTTTTAATACAGAGTTACTTCTTAAAGAATGCAAAAAATTACAGAGCTCTTAGGAAGAGTAAAGGAACATGATACAATACACACTGTTACTAATTTTATTCAAATATGGTTGAAAAAATATTGCCTGCAGGTAGTGACATTACTGCTGTTCGTTAAGCACTTGTTAAGCATTTTAAAACATTGCTTAAATGCTCAAAATTGATGGATCCATTCAATAATTGGCTCACATTTGGAGAAACAAATGAAACAAAATCATGAAATGTGGATTTATCAATTGCTGTAAGGTATGATGACTAAATGGAACTCTCAGGTTCCAAAGCAATATACTTCTATGAATTCTCTTGCTAGTACTAGTATACTGCTTGTACCTACTAGCATATACTGGATGGCAAGAATTAGTATTTAATTTTGTGGGGCCCAAGAAATTCTGCTGGCATAGAGTCATTTTGGATAAAATGTACACATGCACATTTACAGACACCTAAGGCATGCATTTTATGAGATTGAGGCAACAACTGACACATCCGGTGTCTCCTACAATAAATATCCAGTTGTCCACCTGTTTCCTTTGACATATAGCAATGCATTTAAAAGGACAATTTTGATTTGCAGAGTGGAATATGATGGCAATTTGCACACATAGCTCATGCCACTATCATCTACCTACACAGCTTCCTTGTAAAAGTGCAGTTTGCTATTTAGAATCACATTCTGTGATATCTGGAATTATATATCACATGACAGAAAACCTGCTAAACTGGGAATTTGACAGAAGTCACGTACTCCAGAAGCAAGCAAAATAAACCCTAAAACAAGTCATCCCACACACTTTCAAAACACAGTTATTTATGCAACACACACAAAGTCCAGTTGAACACCCACCTTGTACTGCTCCCCATCTCCTCCAACCCCACCTCTGGAGATACACGCTGCCACACTCTCTAACCCCACAGGATGCTTGTTCCTGTATCCAGTACACAGTTTACTGTTTTTCTGGGCAGCTAGCCATGCTTTAAAGTGAAGCACTAGACTGTGGACACCCAGCGTTTTTGTTTTCTAGAAATGGTTCCAGGACTTATTGTATTGGAAATAAAGATAGTGCTTTTGCAGCACGTCATTTTTCTGGTATTCTTCCCCACATACACACACTTAAAAAAAACCACAGAGAATTATCTATAGCCACAGTGATGTCCAAATACAGTCCCTTAAGGATTCCAGTTTAAAATGTCACTCCAGATTCTGTAAGACCACAGCAGCTCTGCCAATGACTGCAAGAGTATTTGTAGGCTCTTAATAGACAAATATTAGTGTGCCCCATCTATGTTTCATTACCAGCTGCTTAGCTGAAAGAACCTAAGCAAGGCCCCAGACATTGTCCTGGAAAGCTAAGTGAGAATGATGCTATTGCAGAATGAGGAGAATGGTGTATGCCTCAGTCTCTTACGCACTTCTGAGCATTCAAGTAAGAGGAAGGCAGCTGTCATGACTGATGTAATGGAGAAAGTTGCAGAACTACAACTCACTGTCTCAGGATGAATAAGAAAAAAAATTGCTGCAGTTTTCCCTTCAAGTAAATAAATAAAATGAACATGAGCCAAATATGGAAAGTAACACTTACTGTTACAAATAGATATTTGCATGTAAATTGCTGGAACTAACTGGAAGTTTCCCTTTGAAACTTGCTGATTTTAAAATTCTCTGAAGTCCGCATGTACTGTCCAAGCCTGGGTGAACACAATGAGTAGGCTAGACTGTCTATAAAACAGTGATGCATGAATATTAACAGGAAACCTGTTAAAAGAGTGTCTTTAATCACTTGCAATTTGAATTTCAGATGAGCTTTTTGGCAGAACAAAACACAGAATTGGCTCTCTTAAGTAAAGGAGCCTGTGGCTTTGTTGGGTTTTTATATAGAACTGTCTTTGCATTTATTATTCTTATTCTTTACTTGAGTGTAATTATTCCTTTAAGTTAGGCCAAAATTTAGGTCATCCAATTTTACTTTATTGTAAGAGCTGCTAGCATCTGTGAACAGATATCTCTGGTATTATCTTTTTATCCATTAAGAATGATTGCTTCCTTTGCAGGGAAATTGCTTTTACTAGGCAACTTCATGAAAAGGCCCCTGACCTAAGCTATTACTACATGGGATTTTATATTTATTCATGCCCTAAAATGAGATATAAGGTAAGGATAAAGTTGCTTTATTAGCAAGTCGAAATTTAATCTGATGTGTGAGTTGAGTGTTTGATGTGATTATGACAGACTTGGATGTTCCAATTTATGCAGGTCCAAAAGGCAACTGGCTCCTGTTCAGTTTGGTTCAGTTGCTTAGACTCTTTCACAGTTGTTTCTGTGTAAGATTTATTAGTTTGTGCCCCTAGAATTTGCAGCTGGTGCTGGAAGCCTATTGTGAACACTGAGTGGCTTAAATGGCTGCAACTACCACCTTGCAAGCCACTTATGAAATGGAGGCATTGTCAAAGCAACTTGTAATAGTGGGTTGGGAGATAAATATAAAATTATTTAATTCCACTAAATGCACCAAAGCCTTTGTGCATGTTTGAAGTAGTTATTTTGATCTTGACCATTTTGTTCCAGTTATTAAAATGTAGCTCATTTATCTTTTTTTTTCCTTTCTAATTTATTGCTGCAAATCATGCAGTGTTTGAGAACAAATATTGCAAGGTTTTGCTGTGACATTTACTCTTTGATTTATTTAATTAGTTATAGAAAAGAAGTGCAGGAACTGCGACATTTAGGTATAGAATTCACTTACTAGTTCAGAGGATGTTTAGAAGAATACTCTTCAGAGGAAAGCAGACAGAATCCTATCGATCAGTTATTCCAGCATAAGTAAAATATGCTGGAAAATATGCAGTCAGAATTGATGCTAATTAACCAACAACTGCTTCCTTTTTGTCATTTAGCACCAGTCACATGTGTTCGTGCATAGTGAAAGATACAAGTAGTAGTAATATCAACAGCAATTTATGCCCCTTCCAGTCATCTAGTGCTTGATTACTAGATATGCACAGCATATCAAGGAGAGTGTTAAAGAAGGAGATTTTGCTCTCAGGCATGTGTGGCTTGCATATGCAATACTTTTCTAAAGTCTGCTTAATATTCTGAGTATATTTACTCTAAAACTAAATGTCACTGTATATTGTTGGGGCATCTCCATAATAAGTATGTTTAGGATTCCAGCCTATATTTCCATATAACTTCCAAACAAATTTATAAATAGAAATGGATTTGTGGATTCTTGAAACATACAATAAAGAGGTATATCCCAGAATTATGATATTATTCCTATAAGATGCTTTAATAATTTTCCTTATCAAAGGCATATGCAGCAGGTGTCATTTCCTGAAAACCTTTGATGTTTAGTGCTCAGGTCTGTTACAGGGAAATTGGCCAAAAAAGAAGCCACACATTGGATCATTGAGAACAGTCTTGCCATTTTGTGGTCTCCTAGTCCCACCCAACTGTTCTTCTCAGTATGTTTGCCTTTACCACTCTCCATTATTAATCACACCTTATTTTTTCTTTACTGGGAGATGGGAGGGAGTGATCTTAACACAGTTGCAACCCACAACTTCCTGGAAGGCAGCTGACTGAGGGCAAATGTCTGCTGGCTCTCTGACAGGCAAGCCAGCTGGATGAGACTTGGAAGAACAGTTTATGGACTTGGCCAAAGACAAGAGTTCAAGACTCGCTTCCAGGTTTTCACCTGCTTCTTTTTGCAGCCAAGTGGGGCCAGCATAGTTTTTCAAAACATGAGCCTCTGGCAGCCCAACCCATGGTTCAGATTGTTTCCCTGCCAAGGGGGAAATAATGGGGACACCTATCTAGGTTTCTAGAGATTAGGGTTATAAAAGGCAGACTCATCCACTATTAATTACTGTTCTTCATTGCTGTCTGGGAGGCAAGAGACTTAGAAATATGAGATGATGTTTGTGTTCCCTACCCCATAATATAGATGTTACTCTCTAAATTTCCACAGACACTTGCATGAGCTTTTGAATTATACTCACCCCTTCTCTAGAATGGATGTCCGAATAATATGTAAAAATACAAGTGCTTTTCTAATGTTACTTCTAATACTTGCCATGCATATAGCAGTTTTCAAGTGTCCAGAGCAAGATTCAAGACAGCAAGGCTACCCCTATGGAATTTCAGCTGTTATGTTTTAACATAGCATAACATTCTTGGTCCTAATAACTTATTTTCATATGGTGAATGTCATCATAATGGGCAAATACTTCTAAGTCTTTCTATTCTTTTTCTAATGTGATTTGTTCAGTTATTTTTAACAAATACCAAAGAGTTGGGTTCTCATTTGTATTTATTCATCTTGAATAATTATGCCATCTGTCTTCCATACTTACAATCACTATTGCGGAATACAGCAAATAGTTGCATAATGGATGGACCTTGATCTAGGTCAATGGAAAAGGGTGGAACAGAATATCTGAGCAAGAAACAAAAATCTATATATACCTCTCTGGCTTTGCCTTAATCACCAACAAGGAAGTGAGATAAGGATCTACTGTCCTCTGTAGAAGAAGCTCAAAAGGACACCAATAATGATTTGGAATCTCAGGCCTCTCACTCAGAGAACAGTGTCTGAAGAATCTCCATCTATATTCATTACTAACTGGAGTTGGACGTGGGAGTTGTAAATCCCCCTACCCCTTCTGAGGATTTCATGTCTTATTGAGATTTCATCCTCAGAATTAGAAGTTCAGTGTTCACCACCATCTCCCGAATCTGATCATATATCCAATCAGATGAACAAGAATGCAGTTACCTGCATTTGTCTCAGTATGTTGCCATCACTCTTGGACCTAGTAAAAGAATCTTGGCAAGAAACTTTCATGTTATTTCAAGATGGGTTGAAAATCTATATAAAATCCATGATGCGGTTGTGTTCCTGCTAAAAACTCCTCAACCAAATTACATTGTGGTTGAAGCCTCCCAGACTATATTCAAGGGATGCCACAATACTGCACCAAATATCAGGGATGGATCTAAAAGAGACACAAGGCAAATCAATATGTTTCTTCTACATCCAGACCCTGTGCTTCATTTTAACTAAGACAAGACAATGTGCAATTAATATAATCACAAATTATTCCCCTTCTGTCTATGTTTCTATTTTCCTCTTCCTCTGTTTTCATTTCAGATTTAACATCAGGGAACTGATGTGCCTGTTATTTGTAAAGTGCCATATATGTAGATAGTAATATATAAATAAGTCAATAATTTCAAGTAGTAAGTTTTAGTGATCATCAGTGGGTACAGAAGAACACTATCCTTTTCTCAAATATAATCATTATGAATTTGATTTCTTTTAATAGAAAGTAATGCTAAAAGGTAGAAGATGACAAAGGAAAGCTGGCTGCCAAGAGGCATTTTATACATGCTCAATTTGCCTTGTCTGTCTCTGATACCACTTCAAAAGAATAAGTGTTTCTGACATCCCCTCTTTTTATATCATTCAGAAGCAGGATAGATTTGATTTAAATCAAATGAGTTTAAATCACAATTTAAATTTAAAAATTGATTTAAATGGTGATTTTTTTTAATCATTGATTTTATCCATCTTGTTCAGAAGCTTTAGAGGTTTATTTATTTTATTTATTTATTTATTTAATTTATGCCCCGCCTATCTGGCCCACCGGACCACTCTAGGCGGCTTCCAAATATAAAATCAAATAATAAAACATAGACAAATACATAATAATCAAACAAGAACAGCAGTAAAGATAAAAAGGAAAAGTAAGAAAAAAAATCAAGAGTTGGCTGGAGGGAAGGCCTGAATAAACAGCCATGTTTTTAATTGGGTTTTAAAGGTGCCCAGCGTGGGGGCCGCGTGAATCGCCGGAGGGAGATTGTTCCAGAGGCGAGGAGCCACCGCCGAGAAGGCCCGGTTTCGTGTCTTCTCCTTCCGGGCCTCTCTCAGCGTCAGGCTCCTCAGCCTCACCTCCTGACACTCGTTTAATGTGACAAAGTAAATTGTGCATCCATTGTGATTTCTGCTAGGAATTGCAGAAGGTTAGTTTTCTGCATTTAAATAGTGTGCTCTTAAACAGGAACATCTGGATCATTTATCTAGAGGGGAAGTAGGAGTGAGACATGCTACTGTAATAAATGTATAAATGTTAAACTGGATATGCATTTGGATTTCATGCCTGAGGCAAAAACTGCCTCTTCAGAATTCATGCAGCTCATATCATATACATTCATTCTTTCTTATTTCTCAGCTCAGACTAAGTAGTTCTTAAGCATAATATCCAGATTTCTAATCACAAGAATTCTTAAAATGCTATAACCATTAATTTTACAATTTAAAAGAAAAAGGTGTTCAGCTCAGTTTCTTTTAATGAAATATTTGTAGTGGGCAGACAGTTCTCAGAGGTGGTTACTTGTCACAGCAGTGGCCCCAAACGTTTTGAAAGGAGAACCAGTTTATCTTCAGCTTACTGGCTAGAGCTGGAGTGTTTTCCCACAAACATTAAGTCACCCACTCCATTCTGTCTCGATCAAGCAAAATGATGTGAGAAGATCAAAGTGTAGGCTGACATGGCTTCCACTTTCTACAGTGGCCCAAATCCTATTCATGTAAACTTTGCATGATGGCAACTGATGAGGTCATCAGCTTTAGTTGCTAAACTTTCTTTTAAAATAGTTAAATGCTTCCTGTTCTCCCGTTTGGAGTCTTGAGGCTCTCTAGGACTCCCTTTTGCTCTGGGGAAACCTTTTGGAGTCTTCAGAATGGGACAGAGCCCTTAATTGCCAAAAATTGCTGCCGGATCACTGCTAGTGATCCCACTGTTTGGGTCAAAAATAATTTATGGCCCATTGAAAGCACCTCCTCCTCTGCTTATAGACTTGGACTCCCAAAGGCTTCCCCAGGGTAAAAGGGAGTCCTAAGGAGTCTCAAGTCCTAAAAACAGGGAATATCAATAATTTACTATAATAACCTTTGAACTTCAGGGTTGCAAGGAACCCTATAGGTCATTGAGTCCAGCCTCTCTCAAGTAAGCCCAGTGGGGAACTGAACTCCCAAACTGGCTTCAGCAGATGTCATCAGCTTCAGCCACGTAAAGTTATGTGAACAGTATTTGAGCCATCATAAAATGAAAAGTTGATGCAGAAGGTAAAGCCTCTCTAACACCTTT